ATGCACAAACCCTTCTGGGAAAGAAGGAACGGAGGGAGGGAAGGGGAGAAAGGGAGGGAGGGATGGGGGAGGGAGGGAGGGAGGACAAAAGAGAAGGGAAGGAAAGAGTAATAGAAGAATGACAGGAGAGAAAAATATAACAGACAGATCAATGGAACGAGCAGGCAGGCCGGCCCAAGTGAAGTGGGAGACACTGAGGGTCAGGGTTCAGACATGACGGGGGAGGGGCGTCTGGAACCAGGGCAGGGCGACTCAGAGGTATCCAGCAACCCCACCAAAAGGCCCAGATGCAAACCCTCTGCTTGGTTTACATGTTACCCATTCATCCCTAACCTCCGCAGACACTTGTCAAACGGTGGCTTGGTTCTGGATTTAATGGTGTCGTTGTAGGTCATGTGGCTCACAGCCGCGCCAGGAAGCTTCCTGGTGTGCGCAGGTCGCTGTCTGCAATCTCTGACAACCGGCCAACACTTCAACAAAAACATGGATTTCCAAAGTTCTAATCATCATCCCTGACAAAGACGACTTAACCTTTGATTCTGTGAAAACAAATTTAACACAAAGAAGAGCTCAAGTGTTAAGTGTCCTCAGCTTCTTCATGTGCAGCGGGGCAGGGAGAGGGCCAGGGCTGGGTGGGGACCATGTCACTGTCTAGCTTTGCAGCTTTAGACCAAAAACATCGCAAGTTTTATAATGACAATTGTTATCTGGTGATTAAAAAGATCAAATTAACTACGTAGTTAATGACAAAGTCAGAAATCTTGTAAATTATTGTGGTATTGTGTTCCCCCAAATATTGTGCATGCTAATAAACTTACCTGGGGTCAGAGACAGAGCAGCCACAATATTAAACATAAAGGTTAGGCAGTGGTAGCACACGCCTTTAATCCTAGCATTCCAGAGGCAGAAATCCATGTGTTCAAGGATACAGCCAGGCATGGTGACTCATCATGCCTTTAATCCCAGAAAGTGAGCCTTTAATCCCAGGGAGTGTTGGTAGAAAGTAGGAAGGTATATAAGGCATGAGGACCAGAAACTAGAAGCATTTGGCTGGTTAAGCTTTCAGGCTTCTAGCAGCACAGTTCAGCTGAGACCCATTCTAGATGAGGACTCAGAGGCCTCCAGTCTGAGGAAACAAGACCAGCTGAGGATCCAGCGAGGTGAGGTAGCTGTGGCTTGTTCTGGCTCTCTGATCTTCCAGTGTTCACCCCAATAACTGGCCTCAGGTTTGATTTTATTAATAAGACCATCTAAGATTTCTGCTACAAAGTATCCATAGAACATTCCAGAAAAACCTAGTCTGCTTTCTTATAGACACGTAGGCAGAACTTAACTGACCAAAGCACTGTGCTCCCTGTTGAGTGTTCAGTACCAATACTCAAGTACTCTGTGAGCATTTGAGGCTGTAGAATGGCTTGTCTTTGCATCTCTGTGGCAGAGGTTAGTGCCACCTGGTCATGGGTTCCAGCCCTCTCATCTCTCCGGCGGGGCTGATGAGTGACGTTCTCCACTGAGCACAGTGAAAAGCAACCACGTTTTCTCCCATTTGCATGTCTTCTGGACGGGATCCCCGTGGTATCGTGGCTTTGTCTAGTCTAAGCTGTGGAAGTGGATTCTAACCTTGTCTGCCTTGCAAACCAAAAACCAGGCTGCGGGGTGAGTGGTTATGTTACTTTGAGCCACACTAATTTAAGTAATGTAAGAAGTTTAACTAGCAACACTTACTCCATATTTTACCTTCAGAGATCCACTCCGTAGGAAATGAAAGAATCTGAGTCTGCCACTCATACCCTTCATGACAGTTTTATCCCTCCCTTAGTTAAGGTATTGGAGGGGCTTTAAAGCTTCTAAACTAAAGATTCACTTTATAGTAGTGTAAGAAAAATATATACATTACTTTTTTAGAGGTCTGGATATTTAGTTTTTTGTTATTTATTTATTTTTAAGACTCTAGGGTCTGGGAAGATGGCTCAGTTGGTGAAGGGTCTGCCATACAAGCATTAGAACCTGAGTTCAACCCCCCAGAACCTATGGAAATAAATCCGGTATAGTGACTTACACTGGTAATTCCAGTGCTGCTGGTGGGGAGACAGGAAGATCCCTGGGGATTGCTGGCTAGATAGTCTACCTGAATTACTGTGCTTCACCTTTAATGAGAGAGCCTGTTTCAAAACACAAGGTAGAAGGTAATTGAAGCAGACAGCGGACAGACAGACAGACAGACAGACACACACACACACACACACACACACACACACACACACACACACACAATCCCCCCAAGTCTCTACTTAAAAATCAGATAGGAGAGTTTTCTTAAATAACACCACACTCTCAGGTGATAGAAACATGTCAACAGGATATCCTAAGTCAGAGTTCGTGAAGTCTGTCGTTTATTCCACAGACTTTATTCTTAGATGTTTGCTCTTGCTTATTTGCATGAATTATTCATCTCATGTCTAGAATGTAATATATGTCACAGAGCTACAGATTACATGATCCATCTTAAGTTCTGTGCATTGCCGTCTAAAGGGGTGATCAGTCTCAGCCATTAGTTTTATTTATTAATCCCAGCTCAAGAAGGAGTCTCGACCCACCTTCCATTATGCTGAAACTGTAGATGTGCTTTGTCCAGAATGTAGAGGCAGTGCGGCCAAAGGGAAACCAATTTCAGTGAATTCATACATTCTGTCAGTCCTGCATGTCAGGATGATGGAGGTGGGTGGGATTAACGTGGGGCCTCTGCTAGGCAAGAACCAGAGCACGCTAGCCAGTAGGTAAAAACAGAATTCGACAGTCGGCTCCAAATTCACTCTGAATCAGCGAAGTCAACTTTGAAAAAAAAATTTTAATGAGTTGTCAAATGTACAGAATGTACCAGAATCCTCTTACTTTATTTTTCTTTTGTAATACTTGTGCATGTGTGTGCACGTGTGTATGAAGGCCAGAAGACAACCCTGGCGGTTATTCCTCAGGAACTGTTCAGTTTGTTTTTATGACAAGGTCTCTCACTAGCCTAGGGCATACTAAGCAGGCTAGGCTGAGAGAGTCCCACCCCCGCCCCCGCCCCTGCCCCCACCCCCCGCCAGGGCTAGGATTAGAAGCACATGTCCAGCATCTTTTATGTGCGTTCTGAGGATTGAACTCAGGTACTGGTGCTTCCAAGGCAAGCACTTCCTCAGCTGAGCTGCCCCTAGCTACATAATACTGGTTTCTATCACAAGATTCTCGGGCAAATGGATTCCAATGTTCAGTTGGTTTAGTCCTTAAATCCAGTGACAGGCTGATCTGAAAAACTGACGGTGAGAATTCTTTCTGAGTTGTTTTGTGTGCCTGGCTTTCCTTTGAAAATGCACAGAGTAAAGAGCAAAGTAAGAGTTGGGTACTATAGCTGTGCTTCCGGGCTCAGGGAAGAGGGGATATTATCACAGAAAACAAGTGGATTTAAAAAACTTCAGGTCACAGCTATTCACATCTCCTTTTGCTCTACTCCATATTAAGATGTATATATCACTCATATTCTTTTAAAGATTTATGTATTTTTACTTTATATGTCTGTGTGTTTTGCCTGGATGTGTGTATATATACCACGTGTGTGCCCAGTGCTGGCAGAGCCAGAAGAGAGGGTTGGATCCTTTGACACTTGAGTAGCAGGGAGCTGGGAACAGGATGTTGGTCCTTTGGGAGACCTGTGCTCTGAACCATTGAGCCATCTCTCCAGCCCTCAAATTCTTAAAACAGTCTTTACTTTGAAGCTTTCCGAACAGCTAAATAGTTGTATGAACTCACATGTTTTGTGGGCACTCAGGTCTCAGGCCAGTAAATAATGCTGCAGATTGAGAGAGGGCAGTGTACTGAGGTCACAGTGATCAGCAGTTCAAGCTGTCCCTGCCATCTCCCCATCACTGTCATTAAACGCCACACCCTTCCAGTGATGTCCTGCTAGAGACTGCTGCTTTCCAGCTTCCCTTACAACTAGGCAAGGCCAAAGGAGAGGCTGCAGGAGGGAAGTTGGCCTGTGTGGGCTGTGTGCCACCATTTCTGACCCTTACCCCAGTCCCTGTAAAGAGTCACAGTCGTCTTTCCCTCTGGCAATCTCAGCCACTCACCCAGGAGAGAGGCTGCCCTTTGCTGTGCTCACCCATAAACACAGTCTCTTCTGCTGAATGGCCAATCTCTCTCTCTCTCTCTCTCTCTCTCTCTCTCTCTCTCTCTCTCTCTCTCTCTCTCTCTCTCTCTCGGCCACCTGTCCCTTTTACCCTGTCTCAGAATTCTCACATGCGGTACTGAAACCCAGGAAGGAAATCTGAGGTTCACAAATGACCCAGGTCCTCTTCCACATGGACAGACCTCCATCACCCTTATCCATGGGGCTGCCAGGGTCACCCATCTGTCTCAGACAGCCATTTTTTCCACTCTGTCTCCATCCTTCTCTCTGCTCACTTTTCTCTGTCTCTCTGGCACCGTGTGAGCTTCTGACAGGAGACCATACTCAGACAACATCATGCAGGCAACACAGCCAAGTGTCTGGCAAGATAACCCACGGCCCTAACTCAGAGGCTCGTGTGAGGCCCCTCCATCTTGTCTCGAGACTCACTTGGTCAAAGGTTCCAGGGGCTTTTCACCTACCGAGGGATACTCTGTCATCCAATTCATGGCTTTGGAAAATTATTCAGGATTTCCAAGTGGTGGGTTTTTTTTTTTGAAACCTTGCTAGACAATCCTATGAAAATGATGCTGTATGATTCTGTTTCTCTTTTAAATTGTCAGTTAGGTGGTGACTCTAACTGACTTAGTTTTCAAAGCTTCCAGGTGCTTTTCTTATGCAGGAGTCTGATGTAACAGAGAGCTAATTAGTTACCATATCATTTGACAGAACATGGTCCAGCCAGTTGTACAGTTGCATTTAACCTTATGTTAACTTTATATTTAACCTTCTATTGACTTATGGTAATCTAGATGTAAAAAAATGTCCTCGTTAACTTTAATGTTCCCTACTAGGTGACACCGCCCGGC